GAATTACGTTTCGCAATTAAGGACTCACTCCCGATGGAGCAGGCTATGCCTGCTAGGGTGGTGGATTACCCTCGGGGGTAATCGTATATCACTTTTATCCCATGACCAATGACGCGGGGGAGACAGTTTCCCTCGATAAGTACCTGAGGGGGATAGTCGTACAGCCCTCGCCTTTCCCCAGTCGGGACCCAGGTCTAAAGTTTGCCATTCTGTACAGGAAGTGTGCCAAACAATTGTTGACGGACACCCATCAATTACATTGTTTGGCCCACGGGGATCAATTAAGAATGATTGTAAATGTGGCAAAGACAAGCCCAACCAGTAACTCGTCGAAAAAAATCAATTTTTAGTTATTAAAAAAACTGTAAAGAACAATATTTGAGAAATCAGCCTTTAAAGTTTAGGATTTCAAGCATTTCTCTACATTGCAATTCATAGCAGATCGTCATCGGCCTATCGGACTTTGGCCTTTTGCTCCTACCACACGAAAACACCCTGTGAAACTACTCACAATTCACGGATGCCGGTTGTGGGTTTAACCCTGACGTTATTGAAAAAAATGAAAAATGATTTTCATTTCGAAAACTTACAGGCTACCAAGAAAATTGTTATCGTCCCATTCGACGAGATGAAAATTAATTTAGGACTTGTGTATTCCAAACGGACAGGTAATCTTTTCGGCTTTACTGACATGGGCTCTATTGGAAATAGTCTTGACGAATACGCCAATAAAATGAAGGCTAATATTGATGGTTCGTCCGACAAGCAGGAACCCCAACTTGCATCACACATGCTCGCGATAATGGTCAGGGGCATTTTCTCACCATTGCACACAACTATTGGACATTTCCCTTCCCATGAAGTCCAAGTTACCAGTTATATGGGGTTGTATGGAATGCCATTGCCTGGCTAGAATACAGTGGCTTCGATGTAAGAGCAATTGTTAGCGATGACGCAAGCGCTAACAGAAAAGTTTATAGACAATTACAAAAACAGTCTGATATCATATTTTCTAGTTAATCCATTCAGCAAGAAAATTAGTTTATCTAATATGCGATGTCCCCCATTTCATTCAAACGACCAATTTTGAGAATTCTGGTTTTAACAAAAACAAAAAAAACCCGGAATCTTCATGTAAGTTAAACAATTCAACTTTTGTAATTCTATAGTTTGATCAAGACCACTACTATACATTTTATTTTTGTCTTATATTCTATATTCCTTGGTCCTATATTCCGTGGTTCCAGTACAACAAACAAGACATAAAATGGAGCCATCTTTTACGGTTGGAGAGGAAGACGTCGGAGTAGGTGGTGGGCTGAGGAAGCTATATAAAACAAAACACGAACACCTTTACCTGACCCCTTCACTGAGTATGAAAGTTAAGCTACCTCTACAGGTAACATTGTTTATATAGAAAAAAAAGTAAATTTATGAGTTTAATAATCGACAGATCTAATAGGTCTATAGTTGTGTTATCTTTGGCTTGCATCAAACGGTCAGTACGATTTCAATAATGTTTGTGCGAATATTTTAATTTATTTTCTTTAAATTTAAAACTCATTCTCTTCCAGCCTTTTCTTAGATTTGAATCATCTTTACCAAGTAAGGGAGCATACCCTGTGGGGAATAGAAAGAAATGTCAGGAACTGAATTTTAGCGATTTGTTTTATTAGAACTACTTTTTTATGTAAATAATGTTTTTCTTTGTTTATAGCTTACGGCGTAAACAATCGCGGATGTTTATTTTTATGTTAGCGTCTTTGTTCTGTGGTCATTGAACTGTACTGTAATAATTGTAATTAAGACGCTTACACGAGTGTCTGCCAAGCTAGAGACAAGACGTTGTTCCATGTCTGTGAAGTGTAAAGAAAGCTATAAATTACACTTTCAAGTTTTCGTTCAAGTTATTTACTGGTACGTTGTTAATTTCATGTATTTCACTAAGAATCATTTATGACTGTTTTATGATGATCATAGTTTGTGTTTTAATAATAATAGTTTTTCTATGATTTATTTACTCTCAAGCCTGAGTTTGAGATGACAGTTTGACGATCGAATCAACTATAATGCTAGGCCTAGTCTAGAATAACTTGTTGATTACACGACGTAAATAAATTTATTTTATAAATATGTTCAAGTGTCGTTTCTAGCTAACTGACAGAGAAGAGAGACGACGTACACCAACAAATCGCACAGTTTGATATTGGCAGCAGAGTTCTATTGAAGTGAGAATGTTTCGACGGACGTCACAAGTTAACCAATAAGCATGAAGAGCTATCTTACATGGTTACAGGGATAAATCAAGAAGGTGACGTTTATCAGATTCAACCCAGTAACGGTGGAGTATCTAAGTGGGTAAACAGGAGGAGATTAATATCAGATCCAAGGGATTATGAATCTGAACCAGGCAATGAGTTCGAGGCCGAATTCAGTGTTCAAGAACCAGAATCTGATGAGAGTTCCGATAATTCCTCGGACGAAGATGATCAAGTATGATGTTTTTAGAATTTTATTGTTTTCCTGAAGCTTTGGATATGATTATGACCGAGGTATGCTTCATGGAGTGATGTATACTAACTGTTTTATTTCTCTGATTATTATTTCAGGGGTTCCTTGTTTTCTCTTAATATCTTACGGTTAATAAACATTGATACCATGTTATTTTGGTCTTAGTTCATTCTTTGACTCGACTTTTCGCCCACGACAGAAACAACAACAAAAAGAAATCTAAACTTGTGACAAAAGAAATGATAATGCTTCCTTACGATTCATCAAAGGATGACAATGGTGTTCCGGTCCCCAGGGAACCGGAACTTCTAACGCTAATTCCCAGATGTCTAGTGGTTAGAATATTAGACGGACAGACAGTAAAGCAGAAGTTAAAAAAGAACAGATCCACTTTGTCTTCGGCGAAGTAAAATTCAAATTTATGTACTGTTTAAGACAATCCAAGCTAACCGCCGACTTGTAGGTCAAATATCCAAATAAGCGACGAGCTTATTACTGTTAACATACTACATACACTTTGCTATACTTAATCTGTATAAAATCAAAAATATGTGGTTAATAAAAATTTTGAATTGAATGTAATTTTTATTTGTTAATTTCAAATATTGCCTGGCCATGCTGTTACTATCCCATTTACCAGTAAACCCTTTAAAAGGGCATTCAGGCGGGTTGGTGAACCAGGTTTAAGATTCATTATCCAGCATGCATTGCTGTTTCTCATTAAATTACCAGTATAGTATTTAAAAACCATCCTAGAGAATTTTAAAAACCTGTTGTTAAAAAAACATTTGGCATTTTTATTACCTTAGCTATATTTTCAGATAAAAATCATAATAGATATGCTTTTGAATTTTAAAAATCAATGACTTATGTTAGAAGTTACAACATGGTTTTTAACTATTCACAACTAATGAGCTTCACTGTTAATCTTGTTACAAAATTGCCTGAAGCAGTAATATAGGGGG